TCCATCTGTAAGACTAGAAGGAGCTTTGGTAGTTGTAAGTGGTTTTGGTGTATTCTGGGCTTGATTCAAAGGAACCTGTTGTGGTTGTATCAGAGGTGAAGAAGAAAGCCGTTGCTGACCAGAAGCTTCTCTGCAGATAATGCATTGTTGCTGAGCTGCTGAGGCTGAGGCTGATGCTGAGACAGAGTCGGCTGTGGTAGTTGTTGGTTTGGTACATGTGCTTGCTGTTGCTGTAGCAGCTGAGGCTGCAAAAGTGAACTAGCTGGAGAAAGAAATTGCTGCTGCTGCTGCTGCTGTGCTGCTGTTGTTGCTGCTGCAATTTTTGTAGCAACTGTATGTGCAACTGTTGTTCTGACAGGTTTTGTGGTGGCAACTGAGCCACTTGGGGTTGTTGTGGGGCCCTCTGTGACAAGCTCTGTTGGAATATCTGCAATTGGATTGTTGCTGCTGCTGCTGCTGCCTCTGCAAGAGAGTAGCTTGTGGGTCTATCTGTGGCTGAAACTGTGAATCTTGTGATAAGGTTGTGAGTGGGAATGTATTTTTGCTAGCTGATTGAATATTTTGCTGAAGAGGCATGCTGGCTGACAGTAACTGCTGCTGCTGAAGCTGAGAGTAGGCTATTGATTGTTGCACACTCGGATTTGGAATTTGGCTAGAACCAATCACCCATTGTTTATAATGGCCTGTTGACATGATTGCTGCTGCTGCTGTGGTTGTTGTACTCGCTGTTGCTGCAACTGGGGTGGTGGCTGCTGCTGCTGCTGCGGCGTCATATTTTGTGGCTCAGGAAGCTGGTGTGGCTGCGGCTGCAGCTGCGGCTGCGGCTGCTGCCTCTGCTGCTGGAGCTGGTTACAGGTGCTTGCAACAAGGATTGCATCTGCTGCTGCTGCTGCTGCTGCTGAGGCCATGATGTTGGGGCTTGTTGCAATTGGTTGACTTGGTTTGGTAAATTTGGTCTGTTAAATTGAAGATTTGATGCAGAGAGGACAGGGTTTTGAAAGCTCAATAATTTGGATGGATCATCAGTGCTGAGGTTATTCTGAAGGGAATTGGATGAAAGCATAGATGGGAACATTCCTGATTGTGTAGCAGATAACTGGTTGTTCTGCTGCATGCTCATCCACTGAACTAAACTCAAACCAGGAAACATTGAACTTGAGGCATCTTTCATGCCAAAGTCATCGCCGAGCCAGGGCATAGCTCTCTTGAATGCATTTTCCATGTCGAAGTCATCATCTGCAAAAGAAATCAAAGGGATGATCAACCCTCTTACTGTACACACATCCAAAGTGATGAACTCAAAAAGGAAAGGAACGTCAATACATCATAAAGGCTTCTGAGTGCTAGTTTTTGGCACTGGAAAAGCAGCAAGACTCAAGAATATAACTACATCATTTTCCTCGCACAGTTATGCAAAATGGTAGTGAAAGGACATACGCAAGCAAGTTCACATGAAGTCAGATTGTACCAATTTTCTCTTTTCTAATTGGCTCAGCTTTAACAGAGATAACCTTCACAACTTTAACTTCTATATCACACAGTTCATTGACGCTAATCACATATCCCCTGGAATCGAACCCAGTTCATGTGGTTCATCATCATTATACCTAGACACTGAATTATAAATTTACTGCAGAGTGCAATCTAGCAAAACATTACTAGAAGTTGTTCCACGTTTACATAGATTGCAGGGAGGTTTCCACCTGGCATTCCTGGTTGCTTGGAGAACCTGGGCCTGAAGAAAGGAGGGGGGCAAATGTAGAAAGGAGTAACGACTGGTTCAATGTCCCAAATTGATACTCTGCTTGGGCGCTCACCAGCTGTTGATTCATCCCATCCAACCTAGCATAAGTTAAAAATTTGACAGCTTCAATAAGCTAAATTGCTAAGACAGAGGTTCAATATTCAGCAAAGCAAAATATATGGGAAACAGAAGACATTTCAACCTAGGGCATTCAACATTAATGCCCGTTATAAGATACACTCAACTAGATAAATGAAGAACGCTTGTATGAATTATTAAGCTTTCTAGAAACTATAAGCAGCAGAGAAGTATTCGAGTCACCAATTCTGCAGCTGGGAAATCCAAGCATAATTATAATTTTCCTATTCTCCATGTTATTTATTATAGTAATACATAAATTCTTTCTCCACAGAACATAGATATTTTAATAAAACCTGAAGATTGCGCCACTGTGAATTTTTCCATCGCACAGGATCCAAGTCACTGATCCCTGTAATTGTACCCATGTATCGACGAACTCCTGACTCCTCAGTCTCAAACATCATTCTAAACCTCATTCCAAGGGAAACTTGGGTGTACATGGCTTTATTATACTTGGCCATTGGAATTACAAATTCTGCAGGGCTAGCTCTGTTGAATTAACCAAGACTGTAAGAGGCAGTCACAGATATTCAAAAGATGCCATCACATGTTATCATCTAATGTGATGTAGTACCTTGGATTGTAAAATATGGTAAATGGGCTGTTGTTTGCAGCAGCATGAGCTGCAGCAGCAAGAATGCCTATATGCATGCTGTCACTGGATATGACCGATGAAGAGAGAGCAGGTTGTTGTCTATTGGCATGCCTTGTACCCACAAGAAGCTGCTGTTTTGCATCCCTATTAAAAAAAATGATCAACAAGAGAGGAACAATATATTCCTAAAAGTTCCACAAAAATAAATATATTTCTTACCTAATAAAAAGAACAGAATCTCCAGCGAATAGTCTTTTTGTGCTGACAAAGACACTCCAACCAGTAGTCAGCAGATGCCTCTTTGGTTGTCCTGCAATTCGTGCATTAACAAATTTAGCATCGAAGTGTTCAAAATATCAATAACGGATCGTCCACAATGGTAATTTGGTTGAAGCGCTCATGGTGTGATTCCAAGGTTAAGCAACATCTACAGAGAGTATTAGTCTTCAGAATCAGTTTTTAACATGTTTCATCATAACCAGAATACGGTTGCTTGACTGACATGATTATACCTGTCTTCTATAGAATTAAAGATTCTGATTGTACATGAAGATAATTTCCAAAAACGATTCATTAAAGGAGGATGGCATCAAGAAAATGTGAAATTGCAGTACCGCGATAAATATGTCTGAATGTCCATGTATTGTCATGCAAATCCTTGGCAACAATCTCCTGAGCAGGAGGTTGCATTGAAAAATCCTATCAGAAACATTTTTAATTAGTATAGGAAGGGAATATTCCAATGGTGACTACAGAAATTCTTGTAGATCTTGTCACACTAAATCAGAAAGTTCTACACACCAGAGGTGGAAATATTTTCTCTGCTGCTCTACGAGGTACAGAAAATCCACCATGCGTACTTGTGTCACTAGCTGTAAGAGTTTTGCAGAAGAATTCAGCAGGCTGTCGGCTTTGCTTCAGACCCATGTCTGATGCAAGTATTGCTTCCTTGTCATACTGAAGAACAAGCATATTAAACAATTCTTGATGAAGTTTCACATTAAGGTTAGGATTAAAAAAGATTGGGAAAAGAATAAAGATACAAATCAGTAAGTTATCAGATAATCAGATTGAACAGCTGACCTACTTTGTTTACAGGTTGAAGGGTCATTTGTGCATAGACCTCATCAGTTTCTGGATCAGCCTAATCCAAAACATGAAGTAACATCAATATATATTCTATTCAAGAAAACTATACAGGTCATCATATCAAATGCTTCAGAAACTAACGCATTAAGAAAAACAAAGGAATATACACTCAGCTGGGAAAATTTTTCCATCAATAGGATTAGGAATTCAGGATACTGTTAATCCATGATGTGGCAGCTGATAACAAATATAATAAATTATAGATATTTGTTCATCCAGAAATGACAGCATTTTTTTTGTCAAAATAAAAACAAATCGTCCTACTAGACTAGTTTATCCAGATAACCATGGATGACCCGAAAATTTCAGGGAGATCTTTATGAATATAGCTTCATACCCAAGGAAAACACATCTCACTACAGATAGAAGTATGTGTATATATAATCTCTTTCTGCAAAATTACAAAAGTTTTCTCTGCAAGGTTTCAATACTGCATAACAGCGAAAGCCCAGTCCACGTACATGTAATGCAACATTGTGAAGCATGCAAATTAACTTGGACGGAAGGTTAGGATAACTGGGTATGAAATCAGCCTCCTTTTGCATGGATGCTGCGACCTGAAAGTTGTAGTGGGCAAAATAAACTCCATCAGACTCGGACACCAAAATGAAGAACAATCAATCTCTAAAATCAAGACGTGAGTGCCATACTTGCTCACTGTGTCCTTGAGGGAAATAAACGACGAGACTTCCAACAGGAGGTAAGGAAACCAAGGGTCCAGCACATGCATGCCATAACTCTGAGTTGATTGTTTTTCTTTCCCCTGTCACCAAAACAGACATACTGTTACTCCATTCGATAGAAAAAGAGAAATAAAAAATTGATAGAAGTCAACTTTATATTCAACATTTCTCAGAACGCTTTATCATATGATCATAACAGTAGAAATAAATATGGAAGAAAATCCAATCACATTATAAAAGACAATAAACACAACATGCTTTTGGAGTTCAAGGAAACAGAAAACTTGATTTGAGGCTTTGGTTCAGAAGCATTGTTGTGGGTGAAACTAACCAAGAGTCAAGACTTGCTGCAAAGGCTCTCACTACAGTATTACAAAATAATGCTCAAGAATTAGATTCATATTGTACTTTGGAGCATAACACAAGCATTAAGTACTTCAAATAATATCTAACAACTTGAGACAATAGCTTCTTGCAATAGAAAATAAAAATTTTATCTCCTGGACATGAAGATGACAGGAAAAACCAATGAATATTTGGAGGGCAAAGTTTGCGCCCATGTTTATTAAGCAAACTATAGAAGAGAAGATGTTACTTAAAACATGCTTAGAGTGCAGAGCTTCAAAAGGTTAATTGAAAATTCCTTAACAGGCATTATGCCTCACTGGAGAGTAACTTAAAATACTCCACCAAGACATTTTCTTTGCCAGAATTCTTTCTCCATTCTCCTGATCTTGTTATCTGTAGATTAGATTCATTACCACCAATATATTCACCATAACTGATTGTACATGAAAAACTTGAGTAAATCTTAATACAACAATCAACTAACGCATCAACTACAAGGGTTGGAATATGATCGCATTTGATTTTGTTGAAAAACAGAGAAGCCATGGGACTTCTAATACCATCAAGCATAGAGGGAATACAAACAAGAGTAGAAGACCTGCTTTTACCAAAATGATTGAAAATAAAAAAGGATGATTCACCAACTTAATTTTTTCCAGCTAAACTAAAACCGGCTATGCCCGTCTTAAGATCAAAATAAACTTCCGAAGGCAACAGTTCCAGTTGCAACCGGGAAAAAAAAAAAAAAGCAGATTTCCAGAAGTTTGTAAACCATTCACAAAGAAAATATGTCAAAGACGCATTCGGGCTAAAGAATCGAGGACTAATTCAAAGAAGTCTAAAACTTAGCGGAAGGGGAAAAGATTAAAAAGGGGACACATCCTATTCAGGAGAAGATAATAAGCCACCCTAACACATTAATTTACCTAAACTAAAATATCAACGAAAAAACTAGTATCCGCTAAAAAAAGAAAAATGAAGCACCCGCTCCCATTTCTGTTTCCTCAGACCCTGTTAGAACTCATCCGAAGATCAATTTTCCATTTATTGGTTATTGCATGTACTTAACAGGTACCAATTTCAAGAACATGAACTATCACGAACTTGTGATAATTACTGGATCTAAAATGAAACATAAATTAATCCAGAAAGATCAGAAAGCTTTTTCCTTGAGACCAACCATCCATAGAGTCACTGAGGTGGGTCTGTGCACCAAAAATTACAAAAACATGATCGGAGAGAGGAGAACTAAAAGTCCGAGACAATGAGCCATCAGAAAACGCACCTTCGCCAGAATTAGGCAAGTAGCCATTCGGTAAAGCCTTCATGACGACCTATAAATATGATAACCCCGGCAAATTCAACACTTGGCGTTATTTACCAAGATTTAACCTTGCTCACAAACTCTTCACAGTTAGACAATTCTCTAAAATCGACCACCAAGATGAAGAATCTCCTCTACTTTCTGCTACAAAGTTGTCTAATAACATCTGGTATAAACAACAAAAAGCAGACCCTTTTCCCAGAAATGTTTAAAGAGGTGGATGAGAAACTCAACACGAACGCCCCTTTTTCAGTAGGAGCAATCTTGATCAGGAGTAAATTCCAAAAGAATGGACTTCTTCTGCTAGAATGAAAACGCCAAAACCAGAACTTTGCAGCTGAAACATCGGCATCAACAAAGCATGTAAAAGCATGTAAAAACTGCTGTTGGTGCCCAAAAAGCCAAAATCCCACAGAAACACTTTAATAGCTATTCCAATTGACAAAGGAATCCATAAAACGGAAAAGAAAGCCACATCAATATTTAGCAACCAGATGAAAATATAACTTATAGACAGCCTCCGGCCACCATATCAGTCACCGTCGAAGGAAAAAGGGGAGTAACCGGAATGGAAGAAACAGGAAATGGGTAGTCAGTTCAGTTTCCGAGGACCAAGGCAGCAGAATATTGTCGCCGGGATCAAAGTTGTGAGAAAACTGACTTGACGCCGGGAAACCAGAGGCTGAACAAAAGCAAGACAGCTTTTTCCTTTATGTGAACAAGCCGACATCAAATATAGACCCGAAGCAATCAATCAGACAGGCATGGTTAAAAGAACTCATTAAAGAAGTAGGGTAGTCAAAAATTAAAAAAGCAGGAGCATATTAATAACGCTCTTTAAATAATTACTATAAGACATCATGGTCTTTTATTAAATAAAATTCCCCGTGGTTAAAAATCTGGGCCCCAAAATTCACCTCAGATTCCACTGAAATTCGCATTTCGTGAGATATGAAATGAAAAGAAAAGGTTGTGACTTGGAGTCAATCAGGGGAGAGGTTAGAGGCAAGCGATTTAGGCGTAGGGGCGGGGGGGGGGGGTCACATTGACAATCGGCCGTTGGATGATAGAACTTACCTTTTATGGTAACAACGTTTTGTGGAGATCTGGTACATGAACTTGGGATAAGTACAGTCTAATAATATTTTATCTTTTATCACCCTTGTGATGTTCTCGGACGTGGCGATAATTTTGTTAATAATCTTTTTTTTAAAAAAATTGTTTAACCTTTATTTGTGGGGATTCGTCTTGGATGTTTGGCCCCACGGGAAGGAAAAAAGGCATATGTGAACATGATTTTAATGATTCTCTAGGCCCAAACATTTCCAAAAGTTGGATTAGGTTAAGGGAATAATTTAGAAGATAATCCCACAATTGCTACTATAATCCACGTATTTTCTTTTCTTTTCTTCCATGAATTAAGAGATCCTGTATTAATATACTGTGCTTAATCCCCACCAAATAAAGTTGAAACTCTCTGTTGATGTCGTATTATGCAAAGTAGTAGCATTTGATTCTTGACCCGTAAAAAAGTGTCAAAAAAAGAAAAAGAAAGGAAGAATTTTTATATACGCCCTAGGACGGCCACTAGCCGCAAAAGCAGGAAATCTTCACATGTCACAGTTTTGCCTTCACCGTGTTGCGATATGTCATCGTTTTATTAAATACATTAATTTAATTATTATTTGTAATTGTATTTGTATTAAACTTGTGTAATTAACCATTTCAATTTTTGTTCCCTTTACTTGATAATTTAATAGGTTAAGGTGAGTCTAACATTGCCAAAGTATTTTATTAAATACATCTAATACTCTAAAGTATTTTTTTTAAACACATCAATGTTATAAAATATTTTGTGGTGCATCTAATAGCCTGAGATAATTTTTTTAGGTGCATCTAACACTTTAAAAAAACTAAAAAAAACACTTATGGTGTTTGCTATACATTTATTTAATAGAGTTTTGAAGAGTTAATGATGAAATTAAAATTGATTATAAAATAATACTTTAAAAGCATAACTGTTTCTGAAAAATTTAATAATTTAAAAATAAAATTACACTACAAATATTATAAGATGCTAGATCCATCTAAAAATTTTTTTTAAAAGATAATGGACATAAAATACTTTAGGATGCCGCATTTGGCAAAATACATCGAGGTGCTAATTAAACCCTATTTCAATTTTCACACCGGCTGGAACTTTTCATTTCTGAGAGAAAATTTTAAGAAAAATATAAATCGAGCAAATCGTATAGGGCGCATATATAGGCATAGGTCTCACGTCAATTACGGTTTTTAATTTATTATGATGTTCATCCCAAATAATTGTGTCACAAAATTGATCGCATTGATGCTGGTAAGTTTTCCCCACTTGCCGTATGGGATTACCGAGGTAGGTTCTATAACATGGCCTAAAATTATTGAGCAGCCATGTTTAAATTTTATCAGCTATGCATCGGTTGATGTTAATAATAATGTATTCGAGTAAGAGCACGATAATATCTTAATTTTCTAAAATTGTGCACATAAATTGACACATTAAATTCACCAAAATAAATTTTTCAACATCACATTCCTCAGTTCTTCATCTTTTCCTTGTCAAGGGATAGCAAGGTATAGTGGTTATTAATAAGTCTTCCCTAATATTTGGTATTTTTAACTTCAGATATGAGCATTATTCTCGAGCCTGGCTGGACATGTTGGCCTACTTAATTTTTTCATGCACATGTGCTCGAATTTATTTCTTCAATGCACGAAAGGGGGGGGGGAAAAAGGAAACGTAATTTACATCATAAAATAAAACATTTATTCTTCACATGACAAAATAAACAGCATGCATAATGAATATTTGTGAACATATATAGAATTTTGCTTTTTTTCAAACTGGCATTCCCAAATTAAGATTTTTAATTTAATATTGAAACTTTTTTTGCGAATTAAATTGAATTATTTAAAAATAAATTCTCTCAATTTAATGCTTGAACAATCTTCAAATCAGCATGGCTTCTAGGAGAAGTTTTTGTTGCCTCTTTGATGAACTAAAGTCAATATCTGATGCAAAATAAATGACAGAATAGAGAGACCACAATAATAATAATAATTGAAAATCTCACTAAAAGTCCGCTCTCATTTTGCATGAAGGGTTAGTCAGCCAATTGTTTGCGGTGACTATATTCTTTGGTCATTCATGTTTCTTCTTATTTTAGTTTTAGTCTTTTAAGTTTTAAATTTTAAGTTTTGAACCCTCAAGAAGTAAAAGAGTCTAGATTTTTATTAGAATATAAGGATTAATCATTTAAATGAAGATAAATTTAAGAGACCAAAATCAAAATAAGGACAATTTTAAAGTAACAAAAATTGTATTAACCCCTTATAATCAAAACAACACATATTTCTATTCATATTAGTAATATTGATGATTTTGTTGATTTGATTTGGTGGTTTGGAGATATAAATTAAACTTCTTCAAGTGACGAGAATTTTCATTTTTATTAAAATTATGATCCATCCGTACACGGTCAAAAAAATGAAAATGCATATTCAGTTTTTGTACAAATTAAAGAATAAAATTAAAGTACAGATGGATTATTGATTTAAATTTGTAATGACATGAGTCTCATGGTTATACACGAAGTCATAAATATTTATATATTAAGTAACGGGTCAAAAAAAGAGACACATGAGTAATGTTACATTGCTGATAACTTATTAATAATACTACCTCCGGTCTTTAATATAAAATCTTATTTGGCTTTTATTTTGATCATAAATATAAGATCCCAATCCACTTTGTCTCTCATATTTATGTATTTTTTTCTAATATAATCTTTCTAATAATTATAGTTCTAGCCAATATAGTTGATTAGTAAAAATATTTTAGGAAAGACAACATATATTTATTACAAATAACTAACTTAACTTCTTTCCTTAATCTCCTCAAATTAGTTAACTGGGTCTTATAATTAGAATCGGAGGTAGTATGATTTCTTTTATAAATTAAAATGTCTATATACACAATATATACAGAAAGAGGTGGGTTTCTTTCTGGGGAGGACGTCTAAAGGGAGTGTGAAATTTCAAAACATGGGGGTGATCGGATTAACTTTTCAAAAACAATCTTATAATATACGAAACAAGTATGTGAAATGAGATTTATCTAAATTTATGTGTAAATATTTTTTTCTTAAGCAATTGTAGGGTTGTCAAACTCCCCTTACGTACCATTAGCCTCTTAGTTGAGAAAAGGCCTTTCTTTACCTGACCTGTCACCGGTTAAAACTTTTTGTGAATGGCCTTCCCCTTGATATTGAACTCTCAACTAAAATACTAACGTCATGAGCATAAATTGAGAGAACTTGCTTTTAAAAGACTGGCCTGGAAGATAAAGAGTCTTTTGAACTTGTAATAAATCGTATAACAATTTCATGTAAATGGAACCCACATGGAGTTCTTAATCTCCCAGTTTTGCACGCCTGGAATTCAGTAAGGGCTTTTGAAAGGAGTCAATTACGTACACTCATTTCCCAACAACTCTCATTCCATTAGAGCCGGTAATATGGGTTGGACCCGCGGGTCGAACCCGCCAACCCGCCAAAAGAGGCGGGTTAGGGTTGGCCTTTGGCCAACCCGCCACCACCTGAAAAATATGAGCTCGCACCGCCATAACCCTAACCCGCGGGTTAACCCAATTTTTTTTTTTAAAAAAATAGATAACAAAGACAAAAGTAAAGCAAATTTTTACTTCAAACTTTATTCTCATTAGAAATAATTAGATAAATAAGGTTATTCAATATTGCTCATTGGTTTCATTGAAAAAAAAATGTGTGAACTTGTGTATTATCATGTTGAAAAATTGGACAATCATATACTATTTGTATTTTATTGTGTTGTAATTTTTATTTGGATGTTTCTAATATTTTATATCATTTTTAGTATTTTTATTTTGTATTATATATAATTGCTAACATTTTTTTTAAAAAAAGAAAATTAAAAAAAAACAAAAAATAAAAATAAAAATTTTGGCGGGTTGGTGGGTTGGCCCGCCAACCCACCTTGGCGGGTTAGGGTTGGCAAAATGCCAACCCGCCAGAAAACGGGCCTTTTGAGCCCGCACCGGACAACCCACAACCCGTCACGGGCCAACCCGCAACCTGCGGGTTGGCCCGTTTTACCAGCTCTACATTCCATTATCACGACCTCGAATGAAGTTAGCAAATTTCCTTACCAACAAAAAGAAAAAAGCTAGCGTAAATTTTCTTCAAGCAAAACAATTTTTTTTATAAAAAAAAACTCTGCCACATGCGAATGCAAGTTCGCATCATGACGATTGTTATGGGTCCACTTTCACCTTTCCTTTTGGGTTTAAAAATATCAATATATTCGCCGGAAAAATGCCTAATAAGAATCGATCTTTAATCACGAGGTGTATCATGAATTTGTTGAGCACACAATTAGGTGCTGTTGTTGGTGTCTAATTTTATGTCCTTTTAAAGTTTGGATCGGCTGACTAATATTTGTTTACTGAATCCATTCTATCCTCACATATTTATTCATATTTTAGGTACTAATCACATATTTATTAATTTGTTTCAATGTTCAATTACAAACACGCGCTTATAATTACGGCTACATGCATTAAGGCTGACGAGATATATCGTAGAATAACTTTAAGTTTAAATGCACTATCTCTATATAATTATGCAGGATAAGTACGAATCAGGTTCACTTCCAATATATACTTGTTGAAT